TTGAATCACAGCCAAAGGTTGAGGTAATGAATGTGAAGGTTTCATGCAAGGAGAATATGCGTTTGATACACAAAACACAAACACCCACATCTGCCTGCAGCAACTCTATCCTGTGATTCAAAAACATCTGAAATCATATTTGTTTGCCTTTTCATGCTTACTGAAATAACTAATTACAGAGAGGTCTTACGGCTCTTGCTGATGTTGAGGGTGCACGAATTCATCTCAAGCAGTTGACAATTACACATCAAATTGCTAGTTTAGAGTCCCTTCAAGAGATCCTTGTAAGGCATTATACTCGGCAACTTCTTCATGAGATGTACAAGGTAAGTTTTAAAAAATTTCTACTAAGGTTCTTGATCTTGAAGACACTTGGTAATAGTGAGCAACTTCATGCTGTCGCATTGACATGCCCTGATGCTAGGGCAGTTATTTGTTTGCTATCTTTTCTTACTGGAGAGCTGCCAGTTCCCAGTAACGCCTTATTTTATTGTCCTCAATGTATCTTGCTGTCTTGTTTTCTAGCTTTTGTTTAAATGTTACATAGCACATCATGCCGTGAAATACCTAATAGATATTATTTTACATGAGTTCTGCAATGAATTTTCTGTCCTTCCTCCATTAGAACATAAATTGACTGAAAGGATTATAACATTTTCAGTATGACGTTTAACTTGCTCTTATCACCCTGTATAATTTGCAGGTGTTTGGTTCTGCTGGTGTTATAGGCAATCCCTTGGGATTCACAAGGAGTATGGGGCTTGGCATTAGAGATTTCTTGTCAGTGCCTGCTAGGAGCATTTTTCTGGTAAGTTTGTTTTTATTTGTTTACAACTGCCCTTTTTATCGGTATAATAACGTTTTTTTCCTTGATAGATCCCCACTGGACTAATTACTGGCATGGCACAAGGCACCACTTGTCTTTTAAGTGTCTTTTAAGTAACACTGTCTACGCTATAAGTGATGCTGCCACACAATTCAGTAAAGCTGCGCACAAGGTCACTGCATGTCTAACGACATTCTTGTGGTCAAGGGAGTATTTTCATCTTTTAATTATTAATGGGGTTTCTATTTGTAGGGCATTGTGGCATTTACATTTGATGACCAGGCTGTTTCAGAAGTGGAACAGCAGCAGAGTGGTATTGCTACTCACTCTAAAGGTGTGATAAATGGAGTATTTGAGGGACTCACAGGTCTTCTTCAATCACCAATTAAAGGAGCTGAGAAACATGGCCTTCCTGGTGTCCTGTCAGGTATTCGATACTGGCATGCAGTAATAATTGCATTTCTTCCTTGCCTTCATCTTGATATGCAGCTCACGGAAGAAACGACGCTATCACCTTAACTGCACATGATACGATTTGGTTCATGCTTTTCATGTCTATGGTGCAGGCATAGCTTTAGGTATTACAGGACTAGTGGCAAAACGGGCTGCTAGTATTCTTGAAAGTATTCTTGAAGTTACTGGAAAAACTGCAGAGAGTATCAGAAATCGGAGTAGGCTCTATCAAATGGGACAACAGCGCTTTAGAGTCCGTCTTCCAAGGCCTCTAAGCAGGGAACTCCCCGTAAGACCTTATTCTTGGGAAGATGCTGTTGGAACTTCAGCTCTTGTTGAGGCAGATGACAGTCTGAGGCTCAAGGATGAGATTTTAGTCATGTGCAAGGAACTTAGACAAGCTGGTAAATTTGTCATCGTTACACAGAGGCTTGTATTGATTGCTAGCTGCTCAAATCTGGTGGACTTAGGCAAGCCTGAATTTCGGGGTGTTCCTGCTGACCTTCACTGGGAAATTGAATCAGAAATCCGTTTGGAGAGTGTTACACATGCTGACTGTGATGAAGGAGTAGTGCATATAGTCGGAAGCAGTTCAGATGCCCCTTTGCGGCAAAACCAGAAAGCTAAAAGAAGCAGTGGAGCAAGGGCAGTTCGTTGGAGCAATCCTACTGGCTCACAAAGAAGATGCGTACAATTTGTTGCAGATTTTGTTTTCTGCAATAGAATTAGGAAAGTAGCATGGGTGGGGATGTAGGTATCTTCTGCAACGAAGTAACATCAAACAATTCAGAGGCGGAGCTTGTTTACACTTGTTTGAAGGCAACTTCTCACAATGCTAGTAGACAGAAAACTTGTTACAGACGAGAAGATGTTTTACGATGGAGTACGGCAAATAGGTACAGAGTCGAGCTTCTTTTTACCACAGAAAACTTGTTACAGAAGGGATTGAATTTCGAATGGAGTGAGAAACGAGTCACAGCATTAAAAATGCCCGAAACCCGTAGCATACGCTTCCCCTTGTAGTGATGTGTTACACAATGAAAAGATGGAATTTCCTTTCTTGTGGTAGATAGGCAACTTCCACAGAAAAAATTGTACAGTATACAGAGATAAAGGTTAGTTTTCCACTTCCTGATATGGGAAAGTCCTCTTCATATTTTTACTTGTATATTTGTTGTTACTGAACCATTGAATGTATATGAATGTTAGTCAGCAGTTAAA